GTAGGATTTATATTTTCAAATTAAGGCCCCTAAATTTCAGCATCATCCGATTTCAGCATCATCCCCGACAATAATTACTAACTAAATATTGAAAAGGCAATTCAATCATCTATAGTCATACGCGTTCATTGCTAGTTTATTATGAGACATATTAATAAAGCTACATTTTTTCTTCTATTTAGAATTTTGAATCAAGTAAAGGTTCAGACCTATGAAGCTACTTACATAAAAATATGTAAATAGGAAACATGTAGTACACAATACTAATTTTTATTAATATTTGACAAATTTCCCAAGCACAATGTCACTTTTCATTCTTTTTAAATAGTTACATCAATTTTCCAATGCGGAGTTTGTTGGTCTGGTGCGGAATCTTCGCCGAAGCATAACAATTTTGCATCTTTCAACACTCCATTAAATCTATAAGTCGAAATGATCTCTGATGAATCTTGCGAAATTAGATTTCCAACAATCTCTAAAATCAATGGCATTTTGATTGACCGACTTTTTAGAAACATTTCGAGTCCTTCTTCTTCATCTAATAAAAATAAATGCTCCAACTTCAACTTGCGCAAATTTTTCGGATTAATTCGTTTAAGCAAATTAAAGATCCCATATCGTGACATAAGCTCATTAGAATATACACGCAAAAAGATGCTTTCCAGTTCACGACAAGAACTCAGTAAGAGTTCAAGATTTATCAAATCGTCTTCTCCAATCCAGGTGCTTAGTGACCTTAACCTTGGACAATGTTTTCTCATGATAGGTAAAAGAATACCAAGATTATCATCAACACTTGGTCGCCATCCACATAAATGGAGTTTTTGGAAATTGCCTCGTGTGTTTTTGATTAAAGATGATAAAATGTTTACCGAAATTGGTTCTCCACGAACTTCTAAAGTTTCTAAATTAGGAATCTCGGCGTTCCTCAAATTATTGATGACAACATCGGATGTTCCATCTGAGATTGCAAACTTTAGACAACGCAAGTTGGAAAACGAACATATAGTGTTCAACAAAATTCCTCCCATATTGTCTATGATATCAAGTTTCTTTAAGGAATGTGCTTGTGTTTGTAAGGCAATATTAAGGTTAGGGCATTGATCTTCTTGGCCATGAATGCTCCCATGTTTACATTCAAAACAGTTCACACCATTCTGAACGCAAATTAGGAAATTCAAACCATCATTGTCTTTATCACAAAAATCAACAATAATAACCTTGATCCTTTCGCAAATTTGAGCCAATCCAAAAAAGAAAGATTCATGACTCTCTGTGCTGCATCTTAGTACAGATAAATTTGCTAAAGAACTAGTTGCACCAGAAAAAAGTTGAATCGAATGCAACATCGAACAAAGTGTAAATTGTTGGATGGCGGAACTTCGAGAGAAGAAAAGTTTATAAAGTTCTTGTTCCAAAACGAAGAATAAAAATTTTCCACGTTGATCACTTATTTGTTTTCTTTCCACAGCACTCCATACGAGCATACTAACATCAGAAGTTCTTAAATTTTTGCAATGCATTGGATAATCAAAAAGAGCGCGTTGAGATATTTGGAATGGTAACTCAAGTCTATTTTCGGATAGCAAGCCTCTTGATTCATCTGATAAACAAGAAAGCAGAGTGCGTAAAAGCAGTGTACAACGATGTTGACAAGTTAATAAATTCTCACTAGCTTTTTTGAACTGATTTTTCAACGGATTCTTCCACAAAATTGGTATGACATTTAAACACCAAAGTCGATTAACCAATAAGGAAGAAAAAAGTGAGCCGGTTTCATCTTCAAAGTTCTCAAAAATCTCTTTGAGGATATCTTCAGGAAGCCGTAGTGTCATTATTAGTTGAGTTAGGATTAATGAAAAGAAAAGACAAATACTATATGTTTGTTTTTTTTTTTTTGTTTGTTTGTCTTTACCTTAAATATGAGCCATTTTGTCATTTTCCCTAATTTAAAACGTTAACGATATAATTGAATCCGTTCTTAGAATAGTTTAACGTCATTTAATCACCACATTTAAGATGAGGAGAAATTTAAACTTTTCTCTATTCATGAGGTAGTAAATAGAAAATTCTAGAATACATAATACTTATAATACATACTACAGTCAACTCTTTCTATAACGAACTGATGATTCTGGAAGAAAAAAAAACTTTCATACTGAACTATTATGGAATTTCAAAATTTTGAGTTCGTAATATCCAGAGTCTACTGTAATTTTGGTTTATAGAGTTGAAACTGGGTTTATATATTTATTATTTTTAAAGAATCGAACCACTTTTTTTTTAATCTAATTGATCACAGCAAGTTAAATAAATTTCATGTAAACCACAGATTTAATTAATAAATATATGTGTAAGAGAAATTATTCAATTTTGAAAGTTACGCCGCCACGAAATTCTTATTTAAACAATTTAAATGCATACATTATATACAAGTTCTATCGTTCTCGATATTACCATAGTGCGACGCGTGATAAGCGCAAATGTCGGGGCAGACTTAGAGACGAACTTATAACTGTTCCATTTTCCTAATCACTATTACATTTATTAAACCATTAGCCAGAATATTGAAAACTACTGTAAATGGCTGATGCTGATTGATGTATCCGGATAATTATAAAGACGTAACCTGAGTATATGAAATAATTTAATACTCCATAATCTCGATATAGTGACCGAATATTATTCGTTCTACGTGTATATGTACTTGAGGAGGTATGTTACATAAGGGTTTCTTCATTGAATAGATTGTTTAGAGTAAGGGTATTGTACGAGAGTCACTTGTCAGAAAGCTTGGGAATATTTTACGCGGAGTACTAAACAGAATATTAACATAAGAGTATAATCTATATAGTTTTTAAACTGAACCCATAAAATCTTTAAATTCATTTGTATAATTGGTGAATGGCTTTTACTTATATGAAGGATATTGTTCAAGTACAAATATAATATTACGTATTTGCTACAACTCTATATGTCATTACATGATCGTATGATGAAATATCGTAAGGTTAGGATCTTTTTAATATATAATACTCTTTTTTAATTTCAGGCATCAGTATTTATCGCCAAACACTCCAGGCAATGACTGACAAGGGTGAGCCAGAAATTGATGTGATTAATTATTTACAAGTACTCCAAGAAGATTTTGATATTCTCTTTAAAAATATTAATCATACGACTGAATTGACAACAAAGAGGAAATGGGTCGGTATTTTTGAATACGACATTAATAATTATTTTTGAATACAATGTTGATAATTATTTTGAAGGTTGTTTTTATTTATAAATTTAACTTCTTTTATCGCACTTCGAAGAGCGATGATGACGATTCTACATCAACTGCAGTTGAAAACAACATGCTAAAGAACCATGTGCAAAACTTAACACCAGATAAAAACGAAACCAAGAAGTCAGTTGAAAATGAAGTAAGTTTCTGGCAAAGAAAATTTAGAGTATCATGGTGCTAAACAAAATAACATTTAATTCCAGTATTTTGTTGCCGTTGACAAAATTGAGACGGGAACTTCTCATTCGACAAACAATATTATTGAATCCGGTTCACCGACAAACTCACACCCTTCTATATCACAACATCTCTTTGTTCCTTATCAATCATCTCCTATTTCTCTTCAATCCGAATCGTTCGATGATATTTCTACCTTTTCAACAGCAAACAGTTTCGTTATTGATGAAATAAACCATTCCGCAGCAACGACACTAACTTCTTTTATTGAGGCAATAGAATCAACAATTCTTGAAGCTTATAAAAGCCTCAGAAGGTCTGTAAAAATCGTGTTCTTTGCCAATGGTAGGACTCCAATACTTTATTATGATTATACTTCTGCATCGGCCACCATCACATATGAAGATCAAAAAATTAAATACATGAAATTTGCTGATAACGGATATGGAATCCTGGGTGAATATTATTCGGAGATTATAAATCACTTTATTCATATTTTTCCAAATTCAAAGGGAGAAATTGGTGGTAATTATGAAAAAAGGTGGATAGAAGTAATCGAATTTATAGATAAGGATAAAGTTTTGGAACTTGCTCGTTTTAAAAAGAGAAAAATAGATTATTGAAATTTCTTGCTGTTATATTGCATTCTTGTAATAATTTGCTTTATGGATTTATACGTTTATTTCATTTTCAATTTCAAATAGGTTAATATGCGATATATTAATGTTAAAAGTTTGAAGTTCCGTTTGATGTAAAAAATGAATAATAATCAAATTCGGTATCGGTATATAAACTTTTGAAAATAATGAATGACCAAACGATTTAAATCACTAACAACCAGTTATTGGTCATTTCAAAACCTTACTTTATAGCGTTGCTATAGTCAAAACCCTATGAAAGGTAGTTTTTTTTCTTAATACCATGATGAATGAACTATTAAATAAGGAATTTAATTTTGTACTTCGTCATTAGCGTAAGCGATTAGTGTTCCTTTCCATCTTGCGGCATATATTGGACCTTCCCCAGAATGTTGAAGTACTTTGTCTTGCTTCTGGCCAAACCAACCTGAAAATTAATTATTATGCACTTATTAGTATAAGTTTTATTAAAAGTAAATATTATTTATTTTCCTAACCTTTTTCATTCAAGATTAGTTGACCAGCCAAGCCACCTGATACAAATTGTTGAGTATCTTTCTTGCTAAAATCAGGATCTAGCGCGACACATTTGAGTGGACGTCGATAGTTAAAAACTTGGACGGAGTCAACATACATTCCATGGATGACGACTTTGCCTTTTTATTAAAATGAATGTAATAGATAAACACAATGCCTGCGTTTAAAAAGAAACCAAATATATATATATATATATATACCATCCATTGAAGCACTGGCAACATATTCCTCGGCTGTATCTATTGACAGATCGTTGACAGTTGCTGTATGTGATGAAAATCGTTTGATCAGGTTTCCATCAAAGTCTAATATGAAGACACCGCCGTTGTGTGTTCCCAAAGCCTTTAAATATGATTAAATTTTATCATTCAAGGGAAAAAAAAAACTTGATTGTTTAACACTAGGTTGATCCGTACCACGAAGCGAGCGGATACTGCCAATGTACTTGCAGCGTCTTTTTTTAATATTTCAGCGGCCTCAAGACGCTTATATTTCAATTTTGGTTCTTCTTCTTCTGCTTCAGATTCACCCTCCGAAGATTCTTCCATTTCTTCAGAAGAATCTTCAAATGAATCGTCTTCCCCTTCTTCAGTTTCATTGCCAGAGCCAACTTCTTCTTCAGACCCAAGAACTTCTTGAATATTATCTTCCGTATCCATTGTCAAAATGAGTGTCGTAAAGTGAAGAAGCCTAAATATAAATATAGAAGGAGTATATCATAACCGAGGTTCGATTTATGCGCCAACGTTACACAAGATTTTGTGTTTCCAACAATAAAAAAGATGTCAGGTCGTTCTTCCGTTGAAACTATGAAGTTTTATCTCAATGATCTCTTAATCTCTTAATCCGCACGACTTTCATAAAACATAAGTTTTCGTAGTAAAAATGATTTATTTCTTTTAGGCACGAATTCGAAAGAAAAAAAAAGGCATTTATGTGCCTCGCGCGAGACAAACCTAGCATATATATCACATATCGCGTGAGACAAAAATTGAAATTTAGTAAATGGCAATTTTTAGTGATAAATTATAGCAAATTTACTAATATTGAATACTGTGATATTGCTATTTATCAAATTTACTTTGCGAAACAAATGCAAAAAACGTAATCCATATCCACCGATTTGATTTTTATTCGATAACCTGTTACACGAACTTTTGGTATTAAGTGACGTTGAGAATAACAAACGAAACATTCAATAAAAAAGTATTTTAGCCTCTATATGGTTTGTCATTGAACGATTGGTTGCATAATGGGTAAGGGTGAATTCAGATGCTTTGTAATAAATTTTAACGACAAATAATTCTCAATCATGATTGGCTAATTTTGGGGTCAAACGAGGGCGCATCTCTAAGTATTTACTAATTTTTATTTAATCAAATTCAGTTAACATAGATAAATAAGTTTTGCAGAAATTGATTTTTGGGGCATATTAAATTATAAAAAATACAAACCTAAAAGGCTA